GCAGCCGCGGGTTTTTTTTTTTTTTTTGCCGCCCACGCCTTCATCTCGCGGCCGCAAGGCGATTGTTCGCGCGCGCGACGTTACGCTCTTACCTGCGACAGACGGACTCTACTGGGACGACGACTGTTTTTTGCTGTCTCTCTCTCGCCCTCCGCTTCCTATACGTTTTTCCGCGCACTTGCCGGTGTCAGAAGGGATTTCGTTTAAAACGATTTACAATGTCTGTTGTCCACCGGCGACGTTCCTTTTCGCGTGCAATTCTACAGGCCTCCGGACGTGCTGCTGGTGCAGGTGGTCTCGTCGCGTGCGTGTGCTTGTGTGTGTGTGTGTGTGTGTGTGTGTGTGTGTGTGTGTGTGTGTGTGCGTCAGCGACACGGGATTAGGCGCGCGCGCACGTCGACGGCGAACGGGTCGTGTTGTCGGCGGCGGTGGCGGAGCAGGCGACAGCGGTCGGTATTGTTGTTGTCGTTGTTGAGATTTGAGCGAACGGCGACGGCGACCACGACGACAGCGGTAACAACAACGTGCACATCACCGCGACCGGTCGATATGTCGCGCGCGTACGGTGTCACGGCGCGAAAAAAATAAAACCACGAACACGAACCACGACGCACAGCTACCACGTACAATACGCTCTCCGACGAAAAGACCTCCTGGTGGTACAGATTATGGCTAGGACGTCGAATCGCCGCCGCACAATGCAAACGTTCGTCCGATAATTGATCGATTGATATGATTCGGAAAAGCGAATCGAAAAACTTACGCGGCTAAAACAGCAACATCGTCGACGGCATTGAAATATTAACTGTATTAACTGGATGTTTCTCGTGAAAAAATAATAATACCAGTGCTCCGAAAAAAAAAAAAAAAAAAAAAAAAAAAAAAACTCCTCGAATAATTATGAACACGTCGTAAAAGCGACGCAGTTGTCGGCGACTGTGTGACGTATACGATGTGAGGACACACACAACGTCGAACGACACACTGTACGGTACGCGCGTCGACTGCTATAACTGAACATCGGGTGACCGAGTGCGGCCCAGCGCCGCGCCGCGGGTGTTGCTGGCGTTCCGCAACTCACCCGGGCCCCCGCCGCCACCGTCGCCGGAGCTTCACCGCCACCGACGCTCGCGGAGTCTACCGTTGGCAGCATCGCGCGGCCGCCACTACCGTCGCTGAGGTATACGCGCGAGTATGCCGCCACCACCGCTGTAGTTGCTTTAATATATCGTCGGCGGCGGCGGCGGCGGCACAGCTAATTCGATTATGTTCTGGGTAGAGAGTCAAACACACACACTCATACGCACGAACCCTGGTCGGGCGGGTGTGGGGGGGAGAGTTCTCTCTCGTACTCGTACACACACGCACACACGCGCCCACAAACGGTTAAGGTGTATGTCCAATATGTTCAGTATATATGCGAATGCGATCGTTTTTCATCCCCTTCCACGCGCCGAAAAAATCTTCCCTGTACAACACGCCGTCGTGCACGTAACTATAAATAAATATATATACGCGTACAGGTACAAATTTATAGGTTTAGTCGTGTAGCACGTAGTGTACATGTATATACGCGCGTGCACTCAGACAATATGCTGTCGCCTCGGCTCTTCTAGCCCCTAACGGCGCAATACGCGCGGTGTTCAAGTGAAAGTGAAATATACTCCCGGTGTTCGTTATTATGTGGCCTCTAAAAGGGTTAAGTTTAATTCCATAAGCTCCCTCATACCTACAAATATTATATATATACGTACACAAATAATTACACGGTTGAGCGCGTGGATAACGGTGTTAGGAGTTGTATGTGTGCGTGTGACATGTCGCTGCATTAACACCACTAATGCTGCCGCCGCCGCCGTCAAAGGGCTCGTCATCCCGATCTACCGCACAGAAGTTATGTTATAGATGTGAAAATATATGCGAGATTGATCGACGAAACTGTTCGGGAAGGAAAATATTGTAAAATAAACACGACGATCGTGATAAACAATGGCGAGAAAAAATAAAATATTATTGTCTGCGCGAACAGGAACTGCGTCGAGTGAGGAAACGTTGCAACAGGCCGTCGCCGGACTACTCGAAAACGCGTGCCGAACGGTGTCGGCGGGGGTGACGTCGACGGGAAAAGCAACGAGATCGTCAAACGATCGGGAAAAACTTTCGAAAATAACAACACGGACGAATGCTAACTTTATATTTTGTCAAAAATATAATTCACCGACTTCACACGTCTTATAGTCTCGAACGTTTCGATGTCGCCGCCGCCGCCGCTATCGTTACATTTGCATACATTTGCGCGAAACAAGACACGATAGTGACATGTAAATCCTTTTCTCGGAAAATTCGAATCCTATACGACGCCTATGTACTGTGCGCTAACACAAGTGGTTTCATTACATGTATACTGTGCTTAATACATGGTAAATATAATGTATACATTGAACACGACGAGTCTGTACGTGCCGTTAATTAAGTCCTTGGCGTATCGAAATCGATTTCCTACATTGGCGTATGCTCTGAAAAGATTTCACAAAACCCGCGCTTTTTCCATATTTTAGTAATTTCACCTGAAATGCTATGTATTGGCGATGTAGTTCATATCCGGTATAACGTAATTTTACAATTATTCGTAATTTAATCGACAAAATCCGTTAATACTACATTTTTAGTACCTTACGATACTCGATTCAAATTGATGAAATCACATGATATCGTACACGTACGTATTCAAAAGTTTTATTATTGAATGTTTTACTAAAACTTATGTTAGTTTTTAATTCATTATTTTAAATGCGATTTAAAATAACAATGTTGTTAATTATTATTTTTTTACACTACACTTACAGTGGAAAAAACTGAATGCATTATCTAATGTGATATTTTAACAGAAAGTATCGCAACCTATGTATAATAAAAAAATATTGTTAACTTGTTGCATTACATTGTTATACTTGTCGTTTAAGAACATGAATATTTCTGACGTTTTGAAAACTAATACTAAACACAAATATTTTTCTATGCATTGGAAATTTTTTTAATAAATAAAATTGCTATCAATATATGTACCTATTATTATTGATAAGTGAGCGATTTTCCACCCACAAAAACCAGTAAAATAATTCAACTAATCCAACCGATTGCATGAAGTAATTTATGATTTTTGTTCTAAAACAAATTAATCAAATTAAATTAATCAAATACGATAAATTTTCATTTTACAAGTTAAATTATGGCTCCGAGGGACTGCATTAAAAACTGAAAAAACCATAGAAAAAAACCTAATTGCCAGATCAGTCTTAAATTCGCAGAAAACATTATTTCTTCTCATGAACATGCATTTTTTATATATTATAAATTGTCAGTAATATTTGTATTATAATACATGTATATTCAGTTTTGAACAACTTTACAACAAGAACCCTTTCTGCGTAAATGTACTGGCGATAGGATTCTTAAAAATGTAATTTTAAATAAGACCTCAATTATATTACTAAGACTGTATTTAATATAAATGATTTAATTTGATTACATCCTTTTGTATTTATAATTTTACTAAGAACATTAAAAAACTGATAGGTTTTTATTACTCTATACCTAGATAAGTATGTTCTTAGATGTTTATTTTTTTAACAAGAACACTTATGTTTGATTAAAATGGAATGAGAGTATAATTAATAGTTTTGGAAAACTTAATTAAAAAATTTAAAAATATTAAAGTAATATTAAAATTAAACACAAAATGTTTTCTCATTACGTATATATATATATATATATATATATATATATATATTTATTATTATAATTACATGGAACAAATGCGATAAGGAATAGGATGTGAAAATTAAAAATAATATTAATCTCAAATCATAAAAAGTATTAAAGTATTAAACTCAAAGTATTACTCATTGAAAACTTTAAAAATTAAACTTAAGATTTCATTTTATTGTGTTCATTATGTATGGTTTTGTATTTAGTAGTGAATAAAAGTTTTTAAAGTAATACATTTTTAGTTCAAATAATAAGGTAATATGTTACCATATAACTGACATGATTAAAATATTCATTAATTACCAATAAATTAAAACCTGATGGTTGTAAAGATACCATACAACATTTTTTGTATTCCTTAATAAATATATATCAATTAACACTCCCGATGACTATGCACAAATAAATAAGGAATGCACTATTATTTTAGTACAAAGTAGACAATTCAAATAATGCTAAACAATATTTTTTGTTAAAGTTTCCTCATAATAAATAGTATATAATAATTGTATCAATGAATGCTAGGGTACTTGGCACAGAATTGTAAAATTCAACTAATTTTTTTATTATTTTTTATAACATTCTTATAAAAATACAGTTGATTCTCGGTAGTTTGAAATTCAATTGAAGGACAAAAATTGAAATTCTGAAAGAAGAGCAAATATTTATTCGAGGTATCCAGATTTTAAGTCATTCAGTAGGTACGCAATAATAAGATGAAAATATTAATTTTTTTGTTACTCATAAACATTGAATTAAGATGCTCGTAAAAATATTTTGTTTATTAAAAAATTATTCAATTCGAATATTCGTTGAACAAATACTGCATTATTGGTAATTTAATCAATTCGCGGACGCAATTCAACTACCGTATTGAATGGAAAAAACACAGCGCCGTGTTTGAAATAATAATGAAACATAACTCGACAAATGTTTTCAGATCGATGGCATTTACGAATAGTATTGAAAATATAAGATAAATATTATAATATGCACATACGTTATAGGATTCGAGCAGGGGGGGGGGAAAGAAATCGCGTATTATTTGTATTACACGCACGCTCACACGTACTGACGCGCATCATTTAACCGGACGACTGTATACTATTATAACCGTAGCAGTGTAACTCGTATCGTGTACCTACCTACATGCATTCCATTGGATTCATAATAATAATAATAATAATAATAATAATAATAATAATAATAATAAAAATAATAATAATAATAA